GCCTATACGTAAACTGTTTCTTCAATCCATTCCTTACCCTCCAAACATCCAGCAACTCAAATCTATCTAAAAATTGTTCAAATAAAATATGAAATCGAGACTGAACATGGTGTTTACTACTTCCAAAATAATCTAAATCATTGTTTAAAATAATATTAAAATCTCCCCCAATAATGATTGCATTATTTTCTTTATTAATTTCTTTTACTATTTTTTCAAAATTGACCAAAAAATCAATCCTTTCTGATTCCCTTCCTCTTACTGGCAAATAAACATTAGCCATTATCAATTTCATCCCCTGAATAATACATTCCATTATAACATATCTACCATTATTATCTGAAATAACATTTAACATCTGAATATCTAATTTATTATCTATTAAAATAAGCACCCCTTTACTATGGTTTGTCCCATGACTAAAATATGAACTCCCATTCCAAAGCAATTTCCAAGTCTCCTCCACTTCATTTGTACTATATGTTTCTTGTAAAAAAACAATATCAGCACCTTTATCTTTACACCACGTACAAATTTTTGCCCTCTTTGACTTTTCTCGAATTCCTTTGACATTTAAAGAAAGAAGATTACATTTGATAAAAATATCTTTACCTTCCATAGCTATATATGAATATGAACATGTATTCTTTCCTCCCTATATAAGGTTCTAATACACAGGATGGCAGAAGCAGGCTCAATAATATATAATTACTAACAAAATCAACATACTGGTCGAGATCCCCAACTACGTAGGCAATGCAATTAACACTCACATACAGCTCACACAACACACATACTAACTTAACTAAACGAAATTGTAAGATGTATACATTCCTTTCTCGTAACTTACAGTGTAATTGTATATTACAAAGCTGGCTTACATTCTTAATTCCTGGCCAAGAGGCAAACAATTTCTGCTCCTTGTCATTAGCGTACTGTATAGTGACCTTACATAGATATTCAAATAAGTTAAATCTTGAACTGAAATGTAGTCTAGTGCAAAACACAATATGCATCATGGCAAAAGAGGACAATGACCTGTCATTCGAACAAATGCTTTCTTGTATTAATATGATTAGGTGTTTAATACCTATGTAAAAACTAAAGACACATAAGAAATGTTTATATAAATTGCGTTCAGATAGAGCTCTCCTATTAATATTCTGACAAGAATAATTTATATTCATCATAAAGCCATACAAACAAAAGTTATAAAATATCCTACGAGAGACAGACATTATGCTGAAAAAAGATTGTATCAAAATCATCCATCCTGCAACACATGCTTGCAAAACAAGTCCTTTAAGAACTCTTCTGAAACATCGAATATGGTCAATATACTTGATAAAATTTGTGTCAAGTAGTTGGAAATATAAGAACATGCATAGTGTATACCTTTGGAATCTATCCTTTTCATTTTGTCTCTTGCCTTTATAAAAAATTTCAAGTAGATTGAATCTTAAGCCAATCTGTGCTCTGGTGCTAAAACCTGTATGCATCATGAAAGAAGACGAAAATTGCTTTATATTTGAACAAATTAATTCTTGCATTAATGAAATTAGATGTATAACTCCTATGCATAAAGACAAAACACATAACAACTCGTTATTTGTACTATGTAATAACACTCTCTTAAATACACAAAATAAATGTTTACTCATCATTAAGCAAAATATTATCTTACAAGAGATAAACATCATGTTGACGAAAAATTGTATAAAAACCATCCAACTTGCAACACATGTATGCAAAATAAAAAGTCCTGTAAGAGCTTCTATGAAACATTTTTCCTCCATATGGTCAAAATACATGAATATTGGTTCAATAACTTCAATCTGTAATAAATCATGAAAATAAAATATATATAGGCATATCACTTGATAACTTGATGATATATGCTTCAAAATGAAAAAAATCTTGTTGTTTCGTACACATTGCTGCAACAAAATCACATATAATTCAAAAATAAACAAAGCGAAGCAAAAGAACATGGTGCTGAGCGATTTCTCAGATCATCTGTGGGAGCTCAATCCTTGAACTGCGCTATAATTAGACCCAAAGTGTTGTGATAAGAAATATGCTAGCAAGTTAGGGACCATCATTGGTGTTCGCATGATCTTCTGAGTGGACTTGAGCAGTAACTACGCGAGTCGAACTTCTTGAAGAGTGATCTTGGACAAACGTTTGTTGGCTCACAATATCGTCGGTAGCTGCAAGGGCCTGGGCCAGGTTGCTGCTCAAATCCAGGTCAGCGGGTGGGCTCTGCGTGGTGTCGGTAGCTAGACTTCGGTCGTGAAGAGGAGATGCGTGTTGTGTAGACGTGCCTTCATGGAAGGGTGTTGCAACTGGGGCCGGGGTTGGGGATCCGGTATAGAAAGGGGCAAGCATTCCACGGCTATCTCTCCATTTACCAGCAGAAAAATGGTAACGCACTTTGTTGAGAAATGCTCTTTGTACTGTATCCTTCCATTTCTTTTTCTCATCTCGATCTGACTTGGTAAGATCATCAATCACAAACATGCTAACCTTCTGTAACTTCAACCTTTGTTGAGAAAGGACGTATCGCTTATCCTGGTATGACAGCATTTTCACCAGCATATGTCGAGGAAAATCTCTTATCTTAGGACCATCTCGATGAGCCCTCTCTATCCCTCCTTCCAGACCAAAGTGAAGCTTAAGGAAGTTTCTAGTAACCTCCATTGGATTTTCATTTGCATTTTGGTGTAGCCCAACTATACGAAAGTTGTTTCTGCGCGAAAACCGCTCTAACCTGTTTTCAGCAACAACAGCTTGCATCAAACGTTGATCATGCTGCTCAATTTTGGACTCCAACATTGCAACTTTCTTCTCAAGTGGGTCCATCCCAGATAACAATATGACGTTACGCCAACGTGGGGCCAACGTAAGCTGTTACGTTGGTCCAACGTCGCCAACATGATGTTGGGCCCACGGCTTTCTTGCCGGCGGGCCAACGTTGGCCCGACAGTGACAAAATGACATTAAGCCAACATCGGGCCAACGTTATGCCGACCCCTATCCGACCATATGTGCCGATGTCCTCCCGACATTGAACCAACGTTATGCCAACCTCTTTCCCACCGTATGCCGACGTCTTTCCGACATTGGACCAACGTCGTCCCAACCCTTTTTTAACCATGTGCCGACGTACGACCAACGTTATGCCAACCCCTATCCCACCATGTGCCGACGTTGTTCCGACATTGGATAAACGTTATGCCAACCCTTATCCCACCATGTGCCGACGTCTCCTCGACATTGGCCCAACGTTATACCAACCCCTTTTCAACCATGTGCCGACGTCTCCACGACGTAGGGCCAACGTTATTCCAACCCCTATCCCACCATGTGCCGACGTAGTTCCGACATTGGACCAACGTTATGCCAACCCCTATCCCACCATGTGCCGACGTCGTGGGCTGTTACGTTGCGCCATCGTCGCCAATGTGATGTTGGGCCAACGACTTTCTTGCCGGCGGGCCAACGTTGGCTCGACAGCGACGAAATGACATTAAGCCAACATCGGGCCAACGTCCCCCCGACGTATGACCAACGTCATGTCAACCCCTATCCCACCATATGCCGACATAGGAAAAACGTAATGCCAACCCCTTTTCCACCATGTGCCGACGTCTCCCTGACGTAGGACCAACGTAATGCCAACCCCTTTTACACTATGTGCCGACGTCTCCCTGACGTAGGACCAACGTAATGCCAACCCCTTTTACACTATGTGCCGACGTCTCCCCGACGTTGTCCTAACATAATGCCAACCCTTTTCCCACCAAGTGCCGACCCCTCCTCCACCATGTGCCAATGCTAGACCAACGTTATGCCAACCTCTTCTCCACCATTTGCCGACGTAGAAGCAACGTTATGTCAACCCGTATCCCACCATGTGCCGACGTTGTACCTCCCCTTTCCAGTTCATGCCAACATCCTTCTGACATTACCAACACCAACTCAAAAACATATTCACACCAACATCAGTCGTCCGTTCATAAGAACATCGTCAAGTTCATACTACATCGGACATGTACAATCATTCAAACACATGCATCACAACGTGACAAGGAAAAGCCAAGTAGTTTAAGATTGGATTAAATAAATAAACAGAGCAAAATCCACAAAATGAAGATAGTAACAATTTCATCAAAATTAGACTGAATTTGAGAAAAGTTCATTATAGAACTCGACTTAGATCCCTCTGGAAGATATGTATAATAACAATATTGAAGCAAGAGGGACATGTTATTTTAATTTCGTCATGTCTATTATCTTGTACATTTTAATCACTATCAAAACTTGATAACAACTTTATTTGTCCCATTTTAATGAATGTTCACCATCTTGCTTCTTAGAATTTGCTCTGAATACACCCCCCCCCCTCCCTCCAAAACAAAAGAACAAGGAAAATAAACTGATTTTGTGATAAAACATACTTTATTTTATGTGTAATAAACAAACTGTTGTAAATGTGAATACAATTATTGTACATCTTTCTTTTGTATTTTCGTTTGAATTCGAAAAAGATGTAAACATAGTTTCAAGTTCAAGGTATCTCAATGTGTCACAATATAGGCCTACTATCAATGAATGCTAGGACGATAGGAGCTGTTATAAAAATGAATTGTCGTTTACACGTAACACAACATAACATACTGAAATTCATTGTACGAATATAATAAACAATCCTCACAACTTCCCGAGTAAAACAAAACAAACTTTCTGGCAGACTAACACGATTGCTTATGACAAGATTCCTCTACATATGTACAGCACAAAAATATAAAGAAATTAATAAAGTGTCCACCATTTGCATACCAAGAACTAGGCAATTAATGTAAACAATGTTCCATAAAAAATAAAAAATAAAAATTCAGAGAAATTGCCAACATTTTTTATGCTTAAGCATTTCAGAGATGCTGATACATTTCGTCGCCATATCTATTGTTAACACATCTACAAACTGTTTTTTTTTAGGAGGGATAGTATACATTGCTTGAATGTGTGAAGTAAAGCAATCGCTAAATGTTTATATAACAAGAGAGGAAATTTGAAAGTGAAGTAAGAAAGAGCAGAGATTGTAAAGGGAAAAACACAAGTTTCTTCACTCTGATATACCACTTTCAATATTTCTTTAAATTGAGAAGAAGGTAATGCGAAAAACATTCAGTCACTTAGATATATGAAACATTTTTTTCTTACCTTTGAAATTCTTTATAGCATGCATTTATAGTTGACACGTTATACAGGCATTCAAATCAATTACGACCTTCTTCGACTCATGGTATAGCTCTCTTTTTAAAATTGGGCCATTAGTGAAATTTCACCACAATAAATAACAAGTAAAGATGCATAGCACACTATTTAATAACAAAAGTTATTGTTTATGTTTGTGTACAAAACATAATGCCTGCAGAGCTGGCTAGCAAGCACCGTAGCTTGCCTAAGCGGAGATCGTTCTTGATATAACATCACTAATCCTTTGGTCAATCATTCCGAGGAACTCTGAGAATTGTAAGGGGCGGGGTCCACCATTAGACGAGCAACTTGGAGAGGTTTTCAAAAAATTGTAAAAAATATAAGGAGGCATTTATTTATGAAACAATTGTTATTATGTTGCTTTAAAAGGGTCTTGATACAAGACATAAAAGTTTTAATTTCCTAAGGCAATGGACCTTTCAAGAATGGGTTAGTCGGAATCAAAATCTTGTCTAGCTTGTGGTGGTACAGCTTCGACATCTGCGGCAAAAAAAAAGAAGAAGAAAGAAACCAAACAAGATTTAAAAGCAGATCACGGAAACATCACCTTGAAATAGTACGGATATTAATCAAATAGTACGGCATTCAAGGGAAGTAGTCCTGAGTGGCACATCCTCCCTAGTTTTGATGACATTTCATGGATAGAAGTACTTTGTCATGAAAATAACTTCGTTCAAACTTTAGAGCGAATGACCCAGACGTATGGAAATTAGAAAGGAATGTATTTCTTTTATTTTTGTCTTGTTTAATTAGAGTAGCATCAAACACTCTTCTTAACAAAGGAAATATACATTTGAGGTAAAATGGCAGTAATATTCTTCAATAGAAAGAACCAATTTATAGTATCTGTTTGCTCAGTGTTGAGATGCTTGATTGATAACAGTTTAAAGCCCCTCTTAAGTGTTGGATCCCAAAATTAGCCAAAGAATAGATGGCACAATCTCACTTAAATGGTATGATGTAAAAGAGGATGTCATTAACACCTGGACACTTCTGCAAATAGAATATTGCCCTAACAAATGTGTTTGAAGTAGAATATGGATGAAAGAATACAAAATTTGCGTTTTCTGCATACAACACAAAACCCTTAGTTAGTAAGTTTGTATTCTTTCTAATTTTAGGACAAATGTTTGAAGAAGAGTGGCATTTTCTTTCACATCATTATAACATTGAAGTGAATAGTTTTGTAAGTGATCACAATGCAGTTTCTCAATATAATCAGGAAAAAGATTCTAGCATCCGTTAGCAGCTATGTCCTACACAAACGTACATTAATCCAGTACATTTGTACTTTGTGTGCAGGGCACAACTATAACGAATACTAAGAAGTGCTATCCTGTCTACATGTATAACTAAATACAAAATGAATAAAATGCCAAATGACATACCCATATTTCTGAATGTTGAGGTCAATGGGGTCGTTGGGGTCGACAGTGTTCTGGAGGTTGATGGGGTCGATGTCGAAGGGGTCCTTGGTGCTGTTGATGCTGTTCTGGATGATCGAGGTAGTAGCTGGATCTGAACGGGTAGAGGAATCTGGAATTTGTTGTGAAGTTGACGATATGGAATGCAGGATTTAATATTTAAATTTCAGAATTGTAGGGATTATGGGAGAAAAAAGTATTGGGATTTGGAAGAGCTATATAGAATTGAATGTATTAATAAAGAACGTCAGAATTTTAAAAATAAATAATTAGAATATTTACCTTCAGTTCAAATTATAGCAATTTAATATACATGTGCATAAACAATAAAAACTAATTTGAAAATGAGAATAAAAATGCAGCAATAATCAAATTTGCGAATGAAAATTGTGAATGAAAATTATGGGATCGATCAGTGTTACCCCCGCCCCCAATAGTTTTTCCTATTTACTATTTGATCAAATTGAGGTTGGCCAATTGCGACTTTAAATGATTGCAAATGCTAAAATGAGGGTAATTCCCACCAGCTACCTCTTTCACATCACACTCACAATCCACTAAATGTGTTGATACAAAGTTCTTGCATATTTTGGCAGACTTGGCACCCTTGTAAGATTTCAGGAGGCTACAAGCCTACAAACATGTACTAGCGGGATATCTTAATTCACAGCTCAATCTCGTAATTATTCCTTTTCGAACTGAATCATCATCAGCATATATTGAGCTACTACAGAGTATAATATAGACCTACTTCTAAATCTGAAAGTATCAGAGACTATAATATCATTTAGATATGCATACAAAAATGATGCGTCTTCCCATTCAGCTCTATTTGATTCAATTGGTCTTTCCAACAATGCATCAGCACCTTCAACACTTGTAACACCAACAGATTCACAATCATTTGATTCATGGTCGATATTGCATATTGGGATGAACATCATCACTGTCACGGACGCTGCAACATGATGCATCAATACATCACCTAGGTCTAACTCTAAGTCAGGAACATATTAACATTTATCACGGCAAACACTCAATGCATCTGATGCCGACACTTCGGCCCCCATCATAGCCATCATAGCCATCATAGCCATCACTCACACTTCAATTGCACGCAGCGGGTGTGCATGCTAAGCGTACGACGAGCGGTACACTAGCTCGTACTCACTTTCACTTTCATTTGGACAGGGAATTATCAATGATTACTTTAACAATTTCTCATGCTATTTCCCTCGCTTTGTGACGGGGAGTTCTCACACTATACAATTTATCAGTTTCACGCGACATGCTCACAAAAATAACGTTGAAAGAGAAAGAAAATCATTCATTTACCATGCAGTGTTGGTACTCCCCGGCAACTGATCCAGACAAATGGACAGGATATGGCTGACGTACGTTGCAATTGCATGAGCACATGGGCATGCGCACGCATGCAATTTTTTTTACCCGGATGTAGCGGTACTAGGTCGTATTTGCTACGTTGGCCCAACGTCATATAGCCAACCAATATATACATGCACTATTTATCAGTAAAGATGGAGACGATATAGACCAACGTTAAGCCAAGGTTGGCCCCCGGGTTGGCCCAACGTCGCGTATATTAGCCAACATATATCCACCATTTCTCAGTAAAATTTGAAACGATGGACCAACATTGAGCCAACGTTAATAGCCAAACGTCGAATAGCCAATTAACAGCCACAATTTATCAGTAATAATTGAGACGATGGACCAACGTTTAGCCAACATTGGCCCAACATCGAATGGCCAGCCAAAAGCCAACATTTAAAATTTAAAATTGAGACGATGGACCAACGTTCAGCCGACGTTAGCCCAACGTCGAATAGCCAACCCAAAGCCACCATTTAAAAAAAAAATTGAGACGATGGACCAACATGAAGCCAACATTGGCCCAACGCCGAATAGCCAACCAATAGCCAACATTTATGAGTTAAAATTAAGACGATGGTCCAACTTTCAGCCCACATTGGCCTAACGTCGAATAGCCAACCAAACGCCAACAGTTATCAGTAATATGTGAGACAATGGACCAACGTTCAGCCAACATTGGCCCAACGTCGAATAGCCAACCAATAGCCACCATTTATCAGTGAAAATGGCAACAATGGACCAACGTTGAGCCAACTTTAGCCCAACGTCGAATAGCCAACCAATAGCCCACATTTATCAGTAAAAATATTGACAATGGACCAACGTTCAGCCAACATTGGCCCAACGTCGAATAGCCAACTAATAGCCACCATTTATCAGTGAAAATGGCGACAATGAGCCAACGTTAGCCCAACGTCGAATAGCCAACCTAAAGCCAACATTTATCAGTAATAAATGAGACAATAGACCAACGTCCAACCAACATTGGCCCAACGTCGAATAGCCAACCAATAGCCAACATTTATCAGTGATAATTGAGACGATGGACCAACATTTAGCCAACATTGGCCCAACGTCGAATAGCCAACCCAAAGCCACCATTTATCAGTGAAAATGGCGACAATGGACCAACATTGAACCAACAATAGCCCAACGTCGAATAGCCAACCAAAAGCCACCATTTATCAGTGAAAATGGCGACAATAGACCAACGTTCAGCCAACATTGGCCCAACGTCGAATAGCCAACCAATAGCCATCATTTATCAGTGAAAATGGCGACAATGGACCAACGTTCAGCCAACAGTGGACCAACATCGAATAGCCAACCAATAGCCACCATTTATCAGTGAAAATGGTGACAATGGACCAACGTTCAGCCAACATTGGCCCAACGTCGAATAGCCAACCAATAGCCACCATTAATCAGTGAAAATGGCGACAATGGACCAACGTTCAGCCAACATTGGCCCAACGTCGAATAGCCAACCAAAATCCAACATTTATCAGTGAAAATGGCGACAATGAGCCAACGTTAGCCCAACGTCGAATTGCCAACCAATAGCCAATATTTATCAGTGATAATTGAGACGATGGACCAACATTTAGCCAACATTGGCCCAACGTCGAATTGCCAACCAATAGCCAATATTTATCAGTGATAATTGAGACGATGGACCAACATTTAGCCAACATTGGCCCAACGTCGAATAGCCAACCAAAAGCCACCATTTATCAATGAAAATGGCGACAATGGACCAACGTTCAGCCAACATTGGCCCAACGTCGAATAGCCAACCAATAGCCACCATTTATCAGTGAAAATGGCGACAATGGACCAACATGAAGCCAACATTGGCCCAACGTCGAATAGCCAACCAATAGCCACCATTTATCTGTGAAAATGGCGACAATGGACCAACGTTCAGCCAACATTGGACCAACGTCGAATAGCCAACCAATAGCCACCATTTATCAGTGAAAATGGCGACAATGGACCAACGTTTAGCCAACATTGGCCCAACGTCGAATAGCCAACCAATAGCCACCATTTATCAGTGAAAATGGCGACAATGGACCAACGTTCAGCCAACATTGGCCCAACGTCGAATGAGCCAACCAATAGCCACCATTAATGGCGACGATGGCCCAACGATTAGCCAACGTTGGCTTGCCGACTGCGACCCTGCCGACCATGGCCGACGTTGGCCCAACGCCGTATTGTTATCTGGGATTCGTTTCTCCAAATCAGCAGTACGCTTTCCCTGGAATTCCAGGGCTTCTTCAAATCCTCCTAGAGTGGCCTTGATGTCAGTTATCCCCTTTCTAACGAAATCTTCAAAGTCCGACTTACTCGAATCCACATACGTTGAAGAGGGGATTGGTGGACTAGTGTCCCCCGAGACTCCGGGGACTTGCTTAGCTACAGGTCCGCTCCGAAGATTCAAATACATGGTTGATTGGTTATCCCTCGTGGCCATACTGATTACTGTGTATTATAAGAGCTCCCACGTGCACACGTTCTTACGCTTCAGTCATGTGCTACCACTTAAAACAGTTCTCTATCGATAGATGGCGCTAAAGATGTTATTTCACAGTTCGATCTGTGCAACGAGCTTTGCGTTATAACATAGAGATATATATTAGCAGTATATAGCTCTATGGCGTATAATTATCTCAAGCAACAACTGAATTGAAACCCGGGGGGGGGGGGGGTGGGGGAGGGGGGGGGTACTCACATATTAAGACATATACAGAGGTGTGCCGTTCTAATGGGTTACTTCCCCCCCCCCCCCAAAAAAAAAAAAAAATCCCTAAACATGGGTACCACTTTTAACAAAAATATACTTAAAAATGGGTCCGTTTTTTTTCAAAATTTCGTCTTTCACCCCGTCCAAACCAAACCAAATATGAGTATCCCCCCCCCCCGGGATTGTTGAAACAAATAGTGATCAAAATCGTCACGGGGCCAAAAGGCCCTTACCCGCCCCCCCCCCCCCCCAAAGGAAATAAAAGAGAGAGGAGAGCTAAAAGGGAACAAAAAAGAGGAAGAAGAAAAGAAAAGTGTAAAAAGAAGGGGAGATTTATCAGTTGCAATTATAATTAACCCAGCTAACAACGTGTGGATCGGGGCTGGGGGCGAAAGGCCCTTAATTTCCTCCTCTAGCAAACTTAAAAGAGAGAAAAGGAAGGGAAAGGAAATTAGGGAAAGAAGAAAACAGAGGAAAACTGGGTATAATTGAGATCAGTTGCGATTTTTTCCCGGCCGGTGTGGATCGGGGGGCCGAAAGCGACCTTTGCCTCGGCCACACCCCTGCCCCCCCCCCCCCCTCAGCAAAAGAGAGAGAAAGAGAGAGAGAGAGAGAGAGAGAGAGAGAAGGGGAATGGGAGGAGGAGAGAAAATGATTTTTTTTTTTTTAAAGAGGAATAAGAACAATAAGGGGAAAAGATATGCTTTTGCGCCAGATATGCCACTGTACACCACTGCGGTACTGATGGGAGGGGGGGGGTGGCCCAAAAGAAATCAAATTTTGTTTATTTTTAATTCTATCTATCAGGCTATAGTTCATCCAGACGTTAGACAAAGCCTTCCTAATAACATTTCCATTTTCTTCTGTCTCTAGCTGTCCTAGTCCAAGCGGCCGTTCCCATGTATGATGTTAGGTCATCTCTTCATCTTCTCCTCTGCCTTCCTCTTCTTCTCTTTCCAATCATTGGTTGCCATTCTGTCAAATGATTTGTCAATCTATTGTCCTGAAGTCTTGCTAAATGCCCAGCCCATCTCCACTTTGATTCTCTGACTTTCTCCATTATGTCTTTAATCTTTGTTTTCTGGCGTATGACTTTGTGATTTGTCTCGCAGAGGTAAATGCGACATCTTTCTCTCCATAGCTCGTTGAGTAGTCACACGCTTCTGTTCTAGATCCTTTGTCAATGACCATGTTTCTGATCCATATGTCATAGTTGTTAGAATGCATTGGTTGAACATTCTTCTTCTTAGTGACATGGGTATGTTTTTATCGGTCAACATGACATCTTCCAAAGTTCATCCACCCTGCCTTTACTCTCATCGTAACTTCTTCTTTTGTGGTGTCTTCCATTTTCAAAGTTTAATTCTATTTCAGTCAAATCAGTGATTTACAAATAAGTTATGGGAAAACTTTCATTTTTCCGGAATTTCCCTCACTTTTTAGTACTTTTGAATGCGTATGTTGGAAAATGACAAATTCCCAATTTACAGTCAGGCAAGAAAACATGCTTATCTAAAGCCATGTCAGGGCCAGCGGAACGGCGTGGCTCGAGCCCCCCCCCCCCCCACCTCTGACACACTTTTTTGAAAAAATATATGAAAGAGAAATAGAACAAAAAAGAAAGAGGGAAAGAAAGTGACCTCCAGTGTCACCAAATCAAAATACGCTCATCTGACCGTGATTAGATGCCTAAAACACCTGAGCTAACGGGGGCTCTGCCCCCTGAACCCACCTAGGGCCCTAAGTCGGGCTGGATGCTTACTGACGGTTATTGATTGCCTATAGGGCTCCGCCCCCTTGACCCCACGCCAATTAGTGTCCTGCCAATAATGCTCATCTGACCGTAATTAAATGCTTAAAACTCCTGAGCTTCCGAGGGCTCTGTCCCCTGAACCCACCTAGGGCCCTAAGTCGGGCCCCTGGATGCTCATCGGACGGTTATTTAATGCCTCTAACCCCTGAGCTTCTGGGACTCCGCCCCTTGACCCCACATAGGGTTCTAAGGCGGGCCAGTTGGTGTCCTGCCAATATGCTCGTCTGACCGTAATTAAATGCCTAAAAACCCTGAGCTTCCGGGGGCTCTGTCCCCTGGACCCCACATATATATTTTGTTTACTTACACACGTATATTATGCACCTGCACAACAAGAACAACAAGTTAAAATGTGGAATAACAGGACATGTGAAAGTCTCCACATAATTATACACACAAAACCAGTGCGATTATCTTCATCACCATGCATGAAGTGGCACTTAACTGGAAGAAGAAGAAGAAGAAGAAGAAGAAGAAGAAGAAGAAGAAGAAGAAGGGTCCTAAGGCGGGCCCGGGGATGCTCATATATCTGGCGGTAATTTAATGCCTAATTAAAGCCCTTGAGCTTTAGCCCCCTGGACCCCAAGCCAAGGCTACGCTCTACCTGATCGTACATTACTTTAGTCTCCCCCACCCACTTTGAAAAACGTTCAGCAGGGCCTGCACGTAACAGCGGGGTGATGCGGATATTTTTTGTCTGCCCCCCCCCCCCCCCCAAAAAAAAAAACGTTTTTGTTCATCATTACGCCACTGAGTACTAGTATACGAGT